CGCCGGGTTCGAATCCCGGGTCGACACCCGCCCAGGCCAACCAAGCCTTCTACCCCCGGGACGGTAAATTGGTACCAGATTCGTCTGGGAGGATAAAACACTGACTTGTACATCGGCTGGCCACCGCAAGTCATTGTATAGGCCACATCGCATTCAATAAGCCACTACGATTCTGAATGGAAGTAGAATGCGTGCCGCATCCCACAAAGGGATTGATCAACGGCGAAGACTTTATCCTTTTTATCCTTTTTGTGTGCAGGGAGTAAGGGGGAACTCCGCAAGTCAAGTATAGGATCAATTCCAAACCACAGCAATCAAGCCTTCGCTCCGTAGGTAGCGAGTTGGTAACAGACTCGTTTAGAAAGATAAGGGCACTTACTCCTGCCCTGGTTAGCCTTTACATGTAATTGTATGGGTCTGATCTGGATCAACTATACACTCCTTATCCCTGAGCCAGAGTAGGCGTGGCATTTGAACATGGCACGGAACTGGTTACTCGTGGAATATTCCAGTCTGGGACAACTGTCATCTTGTTCTGTGTTGGACAGAGACACGACAACAATTGTGTCAAGATGAAAATATCTCACCAGAAGCATAGACACCTTCAGGTTAAGTTGAAACATGCGGCCACGCCTACCCGATCTCAGGGATTTCGAGTATACTTTTGTCGCCACCCAACTCGCCAACCTTTTGAAGGCAGTGCCCCGATCACTTGAGCTTCCTTTCTTTGGCCCCCTCAGTCGTTCTACTCAGCTTCAGTAACAGGACCTGCCAAAGGACATCGTCAGAGATATTGTAGTCACCAAGAAATCAGCTGTGATCAGTTGCGGCGACCATATCGGCAACACCACTCGCCTGGTGGTCTCATCCGATCACACCATTTGTCTCCCTCTGCTCGCACAAATGCGATCGTTGGAGGGGTTTATTAGGAGTATTTTTACCCATTTTCATCTGTTTTTTTTCTCCACCATTGACTTTCTTGGCACGTTGGCAACGCCATTCGAGTTCCACTACCCAGAACATGTATCTTGACGCGGGTTTCAAGAAAGAACGCCTACAGCATCTCGGTTGGTTTGAGTGCAATATTCCTCGTCGCGGTATTGTGACATGCAGTAACTATCCCACAGCGAAAAGGTGAAGTACGATCCATTGACTTGACAGGAGGAATGGCCCTTCAACAACGTTGCTCGCCACGTGATTTGCATGCAATTTTCACGATTCTTTTGGACAGAAGAACTTTCGAAGATATAGAAATAGTTTTTAACAAAACAGTGGCACGGTCAGGACATTCGTTTATTGGAGGCAGTAGGGAACTGGAACCCCACGAGATAGGCAATGACGACAATTGTGGGAACAATTCTTTACATGAGGGACGTAAAATGAAAATCGTTCATGAGCCTAAGTGTATCTGGGCATCGCTCGTACCTCCGCCAACGTTTGATCGATTTTTTCGAGAAAACGGTCCTTTGGACGAGACGTTACCTGGAAATATGCAATTTTGAGCATAGCACCTTTCTTATTCCTACATATTAAATTGACGAGCATAGGCCAGAGACTGAAAATCATTGGTGGATAGGGCTGGCTAGCAGTTGTACGTGAAATTCTACTCTTGTTGGACGATTCAAAGGATAGCCTAGCAGATTTAATTTCTAGCGCTGACCTGCACGAAATTCGATCCGACAATCCGAGAATCTTGCGACCTGATGTACGGATGGTCCCTGTAGAGATACGGTGAGAGCGGTGAACTGAAGGGATATTTTCAACAAGAAAAATACAATTTTATTTACTTAATATATTTTGTTTTGGCAACCATAAGTACTGTACTCTATTAAAAGCGAACAAAAAAAAGAGATATTTCGTAGTCTCATGTTCAGAAAAGTAAGCGAGGAGCAACTCGACTGACCTCCCAGACAAGATTATAAGTTCAGGAAAACAGGCCGGATACGGTATCTCCGAAAGTTGCGCGTGAGATTAAATGTGTTGGCCTCCTGGAGGGCAGACATACCGTAAACCGGTTTAGTTGAACAAATTCTTCCACTGTTGTCCACCTGTAACCGAGTGTCGCCTAGGCGTAAACTAAGGTGTGCTGTGTGCATTCAGTGTTCCTACGCACTCAATTTTACGCACACTTTAGGATACTGTTTCCCGCATCTTTTCTTCTACTTTTGGTGCTTGATTAGATGGCTTTTTTGGGGGTGCAGGATAAAACCATGCTCTCGACATCGGTAATTTCCAGCGAAATACACCTCGAAAGAGGTATAGAGAAGCTGTACGGCCCTCATTTTTTTTCACTTTATGGAAACTGTGACAACAGTTCCGCGCGCAATCCACGATCCTAACGACGGCACATTTTTAGAAAGTTGGTACGGTGATTCCGGTGTAAGTGGGGGAGGATATTGAAAATTCGCTCAAGCGCCATTACTTGCCCTGGCGCGAAAGTGAATGCCGCTACATAGTATGTTCTGTCCCCACTCATATCAAAGGAAGGGCGCGGTTCGGCTTGGTGGGGACATCGAATGGTACTCAGCTAAGCTTAGACGAGCAACTTTGTAAAGACCTGTAAACTCTTGTGATCAAGGTGGTTCGCTCGAATAATTTCACTGCTTCACAGGGGTTCAAAGGTTCGATCAAAGTGAAACACGCTAACAAAAGTGCAAAATGGCCCTTCCAAAGAAAGTGTTATTAGAGAGAAACTCAAAGATCTCTACTTTGTTATGAACTCAAAAGTCTAATTACCTAAACCTTCGCTAGGTACTAACTAGGTGCTAGCTGAACTTACAATCTAATTAAAGCGGGTATTTAACTAATTACTGTATTGCTCTAATGACACCTGCACAGAACTTACTACATGAAGCCTTCATAAGCATATTGATGCTCGTCAGCTCTGAATAAAACGAAACATGAGAATCGCCTCATGGGTATTAGGATTTTCCGAGATTAAGAGTGGCAATATCTTCAAGGTAACTTATGAGGACTAGCTACTACTCTATATGAAGGATTTGTTCCCTTATCAATGATTTCCAGGGGGAACAGGACAACCGTCAGTCACATTTCACCTGGCTAGCTGTCAAGCTTTCCGTTTTTTTTGGGGCAAATCTTGAAATCGATCGAGATTTTGTGTGATTAGCGCTGGTTTCTAACTGCGGCTTAAACATCAATATGGCAGTGTTTAAGTGAACTGTGGACGAACGATTATTCCACATGCCACAGACATTTGTTACTGAGGACACCCCAAGGATACATGGTTGTCAACAGCAAAGCAGTTTCGGACGAGTTCCCCGTTGGCGTCGTGCCCAAAACCGGCAGATACGGCTGCTTGTATGCACTAATATGTAGCACAGTAGGCCCTTGATACCAATCCCTTCGCTTCATGTTGTACTTCGCAAATGAAGCGGTACGAGCATCAGCATCGGTCGGACATTTGTGGGTGGGCGGGCGCAGTGGGCGTCAATATGTTTCAGCTTGACAGGGCGCTAACAGGGTCTCTTCTTTGGAAAAGGCACCACGCAGCGGCCGCTCAGAAGCGCCGAATTCTGTCATCATGTTATCGTTCAATCGTTTTGGAACCTATGGAGTAAGGGCCAGGAAGAGTAAATATTTCCAGAAAATCTGAAAAATCTAAAAACAACGGGCCTAGTGGAAGAGCGCAACGGGTTACCACGCTTGATGACATATTTTTTTTGTTTTGTTCTTAATCAGTAATCGTTTCTCCGCGTCATCATATGCTAAAACTATCTAATAGTGAATAAGAAAACGAAGATTCACGTGTAAGAACTGAACTCGTGTCAGAAAAGAACCTTTGAGTTGTAATGGGCGGGACAATTGAGAAATCGTCAGAACTGCTATTTATAGGCAGCGTTCATACTTCGCGACAGCAGTGGCGATCGCCGCGATCGTCGGTACGCGTCAGAGCGCGCCCCAACGCTATTACTTGGACCGCTCGCTTTGATAAATAAGGAAATCCAACTTGTAATACCTTTTTTCTCTTAATAATGGCTACTAGCTGGAAACTGAGGACTTTCTCTACCTAAGAGGATCTGGAATAAAAGGGAGGAGATGGTTTCACCTTTTATTTAGCCTTTTTCCGATTGTAGGCTACTACAGCCCTAACCCTAGAAAATCCCAGAATGACATCAACCCTAGAAAGCCCTAAAAAACCGTAGACCTTTCCCTAAAAATGGAGAAGCAGTGCGTTAGATATTGTTGGTAAGAAGGTCATGGGTGCATGCAACCTGGGGTGTCCCCAGTCTGGATATTTGTATGTGTGGCGAATCAAACCTGTCAAAGTTCTTGTAGTCGATGAGGGTTTTGTGATTGTTCTTGGCGTATTCTTCGTCATCTTTCTCGCGATAAGGAGGAATAGCACCCGGCACTCTGGAACGATAATGATCATTTTGATTTCTAGTCCCCTCCGACTGCGTTAAGGCAGCGCAAAAGAGACTCAATGGGTGAAAAATTTAACTGAAATACGGTACCGAATATCGATCAGGTCGT